CTCTATCCAGGATCTCCTACACAGATCCCCCTCCAAGTGGTGGGCAGTGGTAGCTGGACACCATCTAGTTTTTCTGGTCTCACAGTCCTATAGGCCGCTGATCACATGTGACTAATTGTTCTACAATGGAGTCACTTCTGTATACACATCAGATAGAGGCATCTCAGAATTCAGTGTGGTGGCATTCAAGGCCCCTAAGATCAGAGACCTATGCTGCCCGAGGCATAAGAACTCCTACACATCCTTCTAGGCTTAGCTTGAAGGTTTTTAGCTTAGAAGCATGAGTCGCACCCAACAGGCAGAGCCAGGCCCCTTCTCTTGAGGATCCATATCCCCTCAGTCTTGGCAGTAATCATCCTCGCTGTCAGAGGCTGTGCACACGCTGGCCCCTCTTAAGGCACTTCGAGGAGAGGAGGGAAACCGAGGAACGAATGCAGTTATGACGCACAAGAGGCGTACGCGGGGACGGAGCGCCCACTCCCCAGAAGGGAAAAGTTGAGGTTCCATGAAGACCACAGTCTGGCAGGAAAGCGCCAAAGTAACCATCAACCATCTCCCTGGAACTTTCAGCGGCCCAGGACGCTAACCCTTCAGGCTCCGCCCCTCCGTGTTTCCGGTTCCGGCATAGTCCGGAAGTGGGCGGCTGGCCGGCGGCTGCGCGCGGAGGAGGTGGAGGAGGTTCCTGGCGCCTGCTTCCCGCCCCCGAGCCGGAGCCGGAGCCGGAGCCAGAGCTGAGCGGCGCGGCTGTCTGGGCCAGAGCGGAGCCGGCTGAGCGGGCGCCGACTCCTCGCCATGGCCCGGAACACGCTGTCTTCGCGCTTCCGCCGGGTGGACATCGATGAGTTTGACGAAAATAAATTCGTGGATGAGCAGGAGGAGGCAGCAGCGGCGGCGGCCGAGCCAGGCCCGGACCCGATCGAGGTGGATGGGCTCCTGCGGCAATATCCTTCACCGGTGCCACGGCCCAGGGGCTCTTCGGCCTGGGTTTCTTTTGGTCTGGCCTTCCCACTTGCCCATCCTTGGCTGTGGCCCCTCAGGCTCAGCCTCCCCAGTCCCCATAACCCTGGCCCCCTCAGGTCAGTCTCCCTATACTCTTCGTATTCGGTTCCCCTAAGGCCCAGTTCTCTTCAGTCCCAGTCTCCCCATTTACCTCAGCCCCCGCCCAGCTTCCCTCGTATCTGGTCTCCCCGCTCTCCTTATGCTTGGCCGGGTCCCCGGATCCTCTCTCCTCAGCAGCGCGGGCCTCGTCCCGGGTGGTTGGCTTCACTCGGCGGCCCCAGGAGCATGCTGGACCTCTGGTCCTGATGTACCCTCCTGGCTCTGGAGGCCCTCACCCCTCGCCTCTCAGCGTAGCTTCTCTTGTCCCCTCTTTGCCTTCTCAGCTCCTCAGGAAGTCCCTTCTTTGAGCGCTCCATCACTCCATCCCTCCATCGCCGAAAATGGGGCCATTCCCGGGCTTGGTCTGCGGGAGGGGCCTAGGTGAGCCTCCGCTGAGTAATTGAGCGGTCAGGGCGGCTCCTGGACCTGCTCTTCTCGCCTATTTGGGCCGATTGCAGCACAACATGAAAATAGGGGGGTGAATGACTGCGGGGAAGAACGGACACGTGGGGGAGTGAAGGTTGCAGCCTTAGTCCAGCCCTGAAGTCTGCGATGTGCGCCCCCTACCCCAGAGTCAATCTGACCCTCACCCTTTCAAACCTGCTCTCGGTTCCTTTTGTACCTTGGGCTTGGTCTCAGCCACACTCAACAAGTGAGTTTTAGCTTCCCCCGTAGCTTTCCTGTGCAGGTTGTGCAGGAAGCAGAGGCAAAAACTACTAGTTTAGAGCTAAGAAAAACCAGACAGGGTAAAGTGAAATGTAAAAGTAGAGCCCACGACTGGAAATAACTCTTCTTGGGGCCACAGAAAACAAGCATTTAGAAAACAGGATTAAAAATAGAGGTGGTGTCATAGCCTGCTCGGTCCCTGAGCAGTTTGAGCACAGGAAACTGACCTATTCTTACAGAAAAAAATTTTCTTTATTCACAGGGTGTTACAGGAAGTGCCCGCCCCTCCCCCGAACTTGCCAGGGCAGGGTTGGAGGCTCATGCTGTATATAAATCAGATTCTTGGTGTTTAATCAGTTGACTCAGCTTGGGAGCTGGGCCTCATACCCTGCCTTTGGGAGGGGCCCTGTGGTGCTCCTCCAGTGTGCCTTTAAAACAAAAGCCTTCACCCTTTCTTTGTTTGAATAAGAATGTATTTTCAAAAGTTGGGGTTCAAACTTGAATTTCCTGTCCAGACCACCTAGGTTACCCCACTGGTGAAGTGGGTCATGGGAAGGATACCTAGGGGAGAAGGTTGATTTTGTAGTCTGGTGCAGGACCTGGCTCATGGTCTCCAGGGTCAGCCTGTGATGTAGTGCTTTCATTCCACAGATGGGAAGATCAGGGCCTGGTCAGCTGCTGCCTTGGCTTTGTTGCTGCAGAAACTTGTTGAAGGTCATCTCTTGGTCTGTCTTTGATTAGTGATAGGTTCTGTAAGATAGCTTGGAGGCTTAGGCTTAGCACATCCTGGGAATGGTAATTTTTCCACTAATGGGAGTGTCAGAAACCTACCATGGAGAGTACTTTTTGGGGACTAGGGAAGGGCAGGTTAGTAGATGTGAAGAACTGAAATTCTGGCAAATAGAGAGTCTAGGGAAGGTGGTGCAAGGAACTAATACTGAATCCCTATCATGTGCTAGTTGTTATGTGCCACAACCCCTCCTTCAGTTTCCGAGGCGGTATCACTACGGAATTAGATTACCCAACCTTCCTTCCGAGGAGTGGCTGGTTGGTTTGAACTGCCAACCTTCTGGTTAGCAGTCAAGTGGCTTAGGCACTATGCTACCAGAGGACATGTATTAGATCATTGAATTTAAAGTACCAAACATTGCCGAGAGTCTTAGGACACAGGAGGGAGGAGCCGCGAGAAAGGTTGGTTGGGGTGAGAGAAGATGTGATGCGGAGAGGACCTGTCTTGGGGCTGTATCTGAGTGGATCATGGTGGGTGATGACACAGCTAAAGTAGAAAAAGTATGAGCTGTGCATTCACACAGATCCAGCCATATTAGCTCTTGCTGTGTGACCTTGGGCAGTTCACATACCCTCTCTTTACCTTCTGTGGTAAATGGTGGAGAACCGTGCTGGCCTCATAGGTTTCATGGGAGCTTAACAGGACAATACTCCACAAAGGTCTGGCACAGTGCTGAGTATACAGCAAGTGTCCCAGAGATGCAGCTTGGCTCTGCAAGGGATTGTACAGCTTGGTTTAAAGATCAACTGGACAGTATAGCTTTGTTGAGAACTTGGGCAAGTCATTTGCCTTCCTTTGATTCTCAGTTTCATTGTCTTTAAAATGGGAATAATAATACTCATTGTAAAGGGTAGTTAGCAGTAATGAGATGACATGTACGAGCAACTGCCATAAGGATCTAAGGCCTTGTATAGGTGTTTCTTAAAAGTTCCTTTTCCTTCTTACTGAAGCAGGGATCTGTCTAGAGTCGTGGTTTAAGCGATTTTGTACTCTCCTACCTCTGGGGACATTTGGCAATGTTTGAAGACATTCTGATTGTTAGAATTTGGGGGTTGCTACTGGAATTTAGTGGGTAATGGCCAGGGATGCTGCTAAAAATCATGCAATGCAAAGGACAGACCCCACAACAGAGAGTCATCCAGTTCAAAAGTCAATAGTGCTGCAGTTGAGAAACCCTGGTATAGAGGAGACCAGCGACTGGGCAGGGTTCCCAGAACCTTCCCAGCCTGTTCTCTGAAAGGACATGATGTGCAGAAGCCAGCTTAGTAAATGATGTGTAATTGCAGGGATACCCTTTTGCTCCCCGTATCTCCACAGCTGCTGAAAGTCTCCTTCCTATCAAAGCCTACAGCGAATACTTAGCAGACTGGCAGTAGAAATAATTCTAAAGCAACAACTGTCTTTGTCCCCATGAAATGACTGTCTGCTGGTTATGCGGGGTTCAAGTGAAGAGCAAGCGTGTGCAGCCTTACGGAGTCCAGCCTACATTTCCTGTTAAGCTTCTGGGATCCTGCTTATTGCCTTAAGCCAGGTGCTATCAAGTTGACTGTGACTCATGGTGATCCTATGTATGTCAGAGTGGAATTGCTCCATAGGGTTCTCTTCGCTGTTATCTTTCTAGAAGCATATTGTCAGGCCTTCCTTTCACAGAGCTGCTGGGTAGGTTTGATCTGCCATCCTTTAGGTTAGCAACCAATCACAGACTGCTACTGCCACCCAGGCTCCTTTGCACCATCCAGGGACTTTTATTGCTTTGGGGATCCCAAATTAAAAGGTTTATGAGGTATAGGATTTCTGTGGCAGATGCCAGACTGGCCCTTGTTTGGCTGGAGAAAAGGAATTCCAATGGTGAAAGATAAAGGGGGTGGGCTGCCTCTCAAATATGGAAGGGGGGATCAGAGCCAAGCTGGGGGCTGGGAGACCGAGGGAGGGTCGGGGGGGACCTGGGGCTAGGTGTGGTCACCTGGTGATGTGGGCTCAGCTCAGTCCAGATGAAGTCACAGAGATTCTGCTTTTTTCTGTCTGTTCACATGTGGGTACCTCTGCATGAACAGGAGTAGAGACCCGATTGGGCAGAAGCCATTCCTTGTTCTATTTTTGAAGCTTTTTGGCTGAAGCCAGTGTTTCAGATGAGGAAATGAAAGTCAGCTGATGTAATTCAGTTTAAAATAGGTGTCACCTTTGGGGACCTAACCCAGATTGCAGTTTTCTCTTGAGTGCTGGGTATTTAGAATTCAGCAAAGATTGTGGTAGCAGGATTGCAGCTAAAGTTTTTTCTTTTTGGTGAGGTTGGCCTGTCTTGTTGGCAAAGGTTCTTTTAGAAAATAAATTCCCTTCTCGTAGCACTTGGGACCTCACTCATCTGGGAAGGTCTTGGAGAGCCTGTTGAGTCAGCGGTGACCCCATGTGCATCAGAGTGGGGTGTGCTCTGTGGGGTTTTCAGTGGCTTAATTTTCAGAAGTAGTTTGCCAGGCCTTTCTTCTGAGGTACCTCTGGGTGGCCTTGAAAATCCAACTTCTTGGTCAGCAGCTGAGCACATTAACTGTTTGTACCACCCAGGGACTTCCAAGAAGATAAGGATGTAAGTTTCCGCACATCTTAATATTTTTAGTAGTTTTATTGATAAAAAGCATGGGGTTGAAGTTAGGAGACCTCTATTTGTGCCTTTATGTTGTCATTTATAAAAGACAGCGATAACCTCAGTTCACATACATGGTTGTTTCGAGGATCCCTGTCTAGATAACAGTGGCCAGTGCCAACCAGGTGCAAGTGAATGGAATCGGATTTTGTTGTAAGTTACACTGCAATGGCAGTTGCTTTGATAATACCTTCCTGAGTGCTGAAACTTGAAGGCTGGTAAGAAAGAGGAATTTGCAGGGTGGCCAGAGGTGCTCTTCATCCTCCCTATGACTCAAAAAAGCTACCTGCTATCCTCTAAACAGGCACTGCCCACCTGGAAGTGGTGGCAGGGGGACATGGGGGAGGTGGGTAATTGGAAGATTGCATTTGGACTGCTCTCTTGAGCTGCTTTTGAAATGAGTTCATTAATAAAAGCATGAGCATTGCTTGAGCCTAACTATCCTTAACTGGTGGGGATGCACAGGGGACATGCTCCGGGCGTTTCATGCAGCCTTGCGGAACTCTCCCGTCAACACCAAGAATCAAGCTGTGAAGGTAAAGG